TTATATAGTAATAATATTACTAAAATTAATATTTAATATTTTATAAAGAAATTAACAATTTTTTTTAATTTTGCAAGTAAATTTGCCTGCTAGACAATCTAAGGGATAGCAACAAGGAACTTACAACACTAAAGTTTTACATAAAATAACTTCTATTTCACTTTTAAACATATATGATTATATCAAAAAACTAAAAAAAAGTAATTCTATTAAAGAAAGAATCATCACCTTAGATTACTTGTTTCAAAAAATAAAATTTCTATATATGCTGAATTTGCAAATAGTTTGAATGAAATACATACCTTAACATATCCAAAAGTACTATACTTAGAGAACTTTATAACATTGAGTATATTTATAAAATTCCAAAACCATTTCTTTGCTTAAAAACATTTATAAATAACATTACGTAAAGTTTATAATGAAGTACCAAAGACAAAATTGAAACAAATTTATATTTTTCAATAAGACCACATTTTAAATGTTTCAAAATACCAAAAAGTGTTTTATAAAGTTGGTACAAATCTTCACAAAAACCTATGATTAAATACTTATACAAAATACATGTGTGGAATATCTTTTCCGCTAAAGATTAAGTTGGATTTCTTTTTTACTGAAATAATTGATAAGCATTTTATCGAGAAATTTTGACTGAAAATCTTTTTGAAAATGCAAATTATATAATAAGAACGCATTAGGTTTTCCAGCAGGATAATAATCCCAAGTGTATATAGCTAAAAAAACCAAAAAACTTCTTTTTGAGAGTGTTTAAGGTTGTTGGATTGGTCATTATATAGTTTAGATATAAAGCTAATCAAGAATTTATGATCAATTTTAAAGAGATATGTAGAAAAAGATGTCAATAAACTTGTAGTAAAAAAAATTAATAACTGTTGATATTTTTGTTGATATAATTAAAAAAAAATAGGAAGGAGTAGAATTGGAAATTCTACTTAATTTAGTTTATAGCATGCCAAAGAGATTGAAACAAATAATTGATAGGAATGGCAATAAGCTAAACTATTGACTTAGCTTAATATTTTCAATTATCATATAATAAAAGTATATGATTTTAAATTTCTATATATTTTCAAGTTGTTTTAGTAATACAATAAATAAAAATGTAATTCTGAGAACTTTCATCACGTACTATACATTATATAAAATACCCAGTATATACTTTGAAGTATCTAAATACAAATGATAAAGAAATCTTAAAAAATGTTATCTCTTTAAGCTTTATCTCTTTATAATCCTAACAGAATTTTAATAAATATTATAAAGTGAAATTATACCAATTAGCTTTAAGTAAGTTTTGTAATAAGTTTAATTTTTTGTTAATAAATTGTTAGCAAACTTCTTTCTGATCAATAATGATATCTCAGATATGATAAGAAATAAAAGAAAGAAAATTTCTTAATATTAGCAAATCATATATAAGTAGGATCAACAATTATAATACACTGGATTACAAAAATTGGATAATTTACTTGACTTTGTAATCTTTATGATCCCATTCTGGTGAAAATCTTTGTGATGCTTTTATACAAAGTTGTAATGAATTTGAAATTTTATTAAAAGTAATAAAGTTTTTGATATATTAAATATTAATTATTTTATAAGTTTTTTTTTTTCAAATGCATATAACATTTCATAGTAATTTATGATATACTAGCCCATCTATTATAATTATGTGATTAGTTTTAGGATTATATATCTTATTATGCACTTCATATATTAATTAATCAAGTTTACTATAAAAATTATATAAAAGTAATATATATTAAAATCATATATAAATTGATAATATTATAACATAATTATAAGTTAATTTTTTATATGAATTAAATAAAACTTTAATAAAGCTTTATTTTTAAAATAAATTAACTAATTAAAATTTTATATGCAAATTTTTTATAATTCACATAAATATAAGATAATTTAATTATTAAGTAAATGAATATATTAATAAACCTAATATAAATTTTTTTACAAATTTTTAGGTTTGGAGATCGGCAGTATTGACAAATAAAAAATCATATGATTAACAATTCTTCGAACAGTTACATTGTTATAATTCGTTACCAAATGAGATAAAAATTCCATTTCCGTTAATACCCGAAATATAAGGCAGTGCAGTATGCAATTCCGTGAGAAAACATTAATGATTTTTTTTATCATTCATAAATAAGCCTTACATTTTATAGCTTGCGATTTTTTTTAGGATTATCACAGTGTGATATGCAGTTTATTTGCATTTTCTTTTTTTCCCCCAAAAATGTCAGAAAGTTTAGATATTTTAGAAAATGAAAGTGAAAAGAAAAAATTAATAAATGAAAAAATTAAATATCCTTCGATTTTTTTATTAGGTGCACAAGGTAAAAAAGAGCTTTTAAAATTTTTTTATTTTTATTTTTTTTATTCTCATTAATATTTATTTTTATGTCAGGGGTTGGAAAGAGTACGTTGGGTAATATGTTATTAGGATGTTATTCTTCAGAAGAAAAACCACCAGAACAAGTATTTCAAATTTCCAAGGGACTATATCCCGATGATGATGATTTTGATAACGTTTCACAAGAAGTAACTTTGACATTTCTTTTTGATTTTTCGTCAGTCTTTTTTTTTAAGTTACTTTCTCTACTTTTTTTTAGATGTATCACACGGCAGAAATTACGATAGATTTTAAAAGATATAGTCTAGTTGATACAATTGGTATTCCAGAATCTAGCACATCAGATGTAATCTGGAATAAATTAAAAAAGATTGAAAATAAATCATCTGAAGGTGTGGTCGCATATATTTTTGTACTAGGTTTGTATCATTAAAATTGAATCATTTCCTATTTCTTAAAAGCATTCTCATTAATATTTCCTTTTTCTTTCCTTTGCGTACTTTTAGAAGGAGGAAGATTAACTCAACATGAACTTTTATTTATTTCTAAATTATTTACAAGATATCCAAATACACGTATAATAGTAGTATTCACAAAAGTACCTAAATCGTTAGTATTATCGCGTATCGAAATGGAAAAAACCTTTAATACACAAATATTAACATTATTATATGGTATAAAAAATCGATGGATCGTAATGCCGAGTTTAGATTCCTTTGGTCATAATGATCAAGGTAAAATTGTTATTAAAGATTTTGTTGATGAGTTAAAAAAGAAAATTATGGAAGTAAGAGATGAAAATGTAAGAAAAGAAGAAGTTCGCCTTACTGTACGTGGGGAAACTTCTGCAACAATTATTGGACGCAGAGAGAAACTTTCTTACATAAGTGTTGGTGTATGTGTTATTATTGTTATTAGTATAATAGTAATCCTAAGCCTTCGTGACATTTAAAAGTTTATACAAGCTGTACATTCAATAATTAGATGCTAAAATTCCTTTATTAACTCAAAATATACAATAAAAAATATTCTAAAGGGGGGAAAAAAGCTATAAATTACATAAACAATAAAAAAAATAATAATAATAAAAAATTTCAATTAACAAAGTTTGTATTTAAAAGCTCCAGAAAAGTATTGATAATTATTGTAAAGGAATTTCAAGTAAGGATGGATTTCGTTACCATAATAATTGGATTTACGAAATAAAGTAATAAAACGTATAGGGGACAAAATATAATGAATAGTATTTTGATACGGGGGACAATTAGAATAACAACTACAGAATACATCATTTGCAATGATTGTTCCCACACGTGTAAATATTGCAATATATCCTTTTCGTGTTTCCTAATAAATAAAACCAAAGAGAAAAAGGAATTAGTTAAAAAAATAATACGAAGAAAGAGATTTTTATATAGAGAAATATCTACCTTGGAAACATTTGTTACTTTTACGGAAATTGACTCTCCGTTTTCTAGAACGTGAATTTGTGAAGTGTGAGGACGAATATTACGTGCATAATCAAATGCATTATCAATAAACACATGATGTTCTGAAGTTAAATACAACGATCCTATTATATTTAAAAATTTTAAATTCAATAAGTACCCAAACTCTAATTAACAAATGTTAGCGAAATAGAACGATAAAATACCAGTCATTCCGTCAGGTTTGATGTATTCAACCTTTAAGAATTCGGTCTGTTGATGTTTATCCAAATGAGCGATTAAATAAACTTCCGAATATCTTAACTCTTTATTTCCAGCATTATTATATACACCACAAGCGACGTGATCTCCAATTTTAACATCAGACATCTCAATCTTTCTCCCATCCTTTAACGTTACAACAGTGTCCAAGGAAAAGCAAGCATCTTGAGCTTCTTTTTTAGCTCTAATTCTACCAGCACTATTTACCGCTCCGCTAATTTTTGCCAATTCTTCTTCAAAACATCTCATACGCTCTTCTTGGGCATGTTGTCTAGCCTCTTTCTCAGCATCTTCTCGAGCTCTACGCACTCTATTAAACATTTCGGTGGTATAAGCTTCAGGGAAAGAACCAATAATATCCTTAGCTTCATAAATATTAGTATAAACAATATCATCGTCTAAATTGAATAGATCAGGATTGGGTGAAATGATCCATCTATTATCAATACGATTGAGAAAATCTTTCATCTTAGGGGTAAAGGTATCCTTCATAATTTTTCTATCCATAGTTTGATCCATATTACAATGTGTGAAAGCGATCAACATATGATCCAAAGATTTTTCACCTAAAAAACCTTTGATTTCTTGAATACGCCTATCAATCTCTTTACCAAATGATTTTTTTACCACAAATATAATCGTTTGTATCCCATATGAACAATGATTAATTGTGTTGGCTAGTTTGGTTAGAGCGATTTCTGATTTGCTATCATCCTTTAAATCAAATAAACCTGGCGTATCGATTAAATTATATTTACAATCATTAATTTCGATTAATGCAGTTTGTGGTTCTAACGTAACGGAGTCGAACGAAGCTTTAGTCTCAAAAGGCCCATTATCTCCATGATGTCCTAACAACCAGTTACCCAAGGTGCTCTTTCCAACACCTACAAGAAGCAAATAAATAAATACATAAATAAACATTATCGCGTCTTCAAGAAATATATATATATAACTCTTCCGTTGATCTATTAATCACCTGTATTTCCAATAAGTAAAATAGCTGGATATCTGAAGCTATTAATTTCTTGATTATAATTATTATTATTGTTCGATTTTCCTTTACCGTTACTATCCTCAGAGTACTGAGGAAGTTTTTTACGCAATTCTTTTTTTATAATTTCAATTTCATCATTTGTAGTGACCATTTTATGATTTATTCAAGAAAGTTTCTTGTTTTTTTGAAAAAAAAGGGGGGGGGGGGGAGATAAATGGGTGAAAAAAAAATATTGATTTATGGTTAGGTATTTAGTATCAAAAATCCGGTTAATATTTACCATATATTTATAGGCAAAAATTTTTTCTGTTTAGTGTTATGTAATTAAATGACTAATTTCTTGGAGAAAGGAAGATTTGCTCCGGTCGATTATGAAATTACCAAATCCAGAAACAAAAATAACTACATTTATGGGCGCAGAAAAGTATATTGTTGAATGGTTTGTTATAGTAAACAATGAGTCATAAAATCATAGCACCTTTATTCATGTCCAAATCGAATTTACGCACAGATGAATTTAAACTATTTTAGCAAATAGCGCTTTGATGGGAGGTCAAACCGAAACTGCAAATCCATTTTTAGTAAATTAAATTTTATTCAATCAATTAAGTTCAGCCAATATACCCTTTATGGATTAGTGATCTTATTATGGAAACAATAGTACCTCACACGTTTTTGATATTATCGAACCGAATACCAAAGAAATTCATTAAACTAAATTAATAAACATTTTTGACAATCTAGATAATTACAATGCTTTGTTAAAGGAAATTCTTGAAATATGTTGTCCCGAAAACTTTCTCCTTAGAATTTCCTTTTTTGAACTTGATAGCGATAGTATTAGAAAATCGGATAATATGGGGCCAACTGATAGTTACACAATCCGATTTTGGATCAACAAAACTGTCCTACCTAAAGATGGGAACTGTAATTAATATGTTGCAACATTTTGTAAATTTGAAATCAATTGCTGTACCATCTTTAGTCCTACCTATAAAATTCTATATGTTACTATATAAATGTTAATTATCAGTAAACAAGTACCCCTGCAATTAAAAAAATTAACTAAGTAAATATATTATCCATTGAAATATAATATTTATTTGATCTTTCCTATTATGTTTAGACTTTTAAATTTAGATGTGTTTAAGAAAAAATAATCTAATATTATAATGAGAAGAGTAAATTTTTACAAATATTTTCTAATTTAGTCTTATTATATCTTTGAAATACATATTAAATGACAATTTAACTTACAAGTTTCAAAAAAAGCATTTTGAAGCTCTTCAAGAATTATATCATCATCATTCAGAATTTAATAGCAAACCAGTTTTTTTTACAAAAAAACATAATATATAAAGATATTTTTGACTTATGAGAGGTTTTGTTATGAAAATAAAGCTTTAAGAATATTTTAATTATTTTAAATTTTTATTGCACTTTTAATTTTTAATAATATTAAATTAAAATGCAATAAAAATTAAAATTTTAATAAAATGTTCAGAGTCCTATTTTTTTTAGCAAACTTTTAGCGAGAAAATATAAGTTTCATATAATATATACAGTAATGACAAAATGGGAGTTCTGAGACAAAATTTCAAATGATACACAGAAAGATTTCTGATTGCTTACGAATCAATTCTAGCTATATGAATTAATTATTGAATTCAAGCTTCTCATATGATTTGGCTCAAATCTAACTATCAAAAGATGTTGATATCAAATTTGGCTAGAAATTAGCTTTCAGATACCAAGAATTATACTGTTTGATATAGTAATTCTAGTCTGATTTTAATCATAAATAATATATCAAAAACTTTTACTATTCTATTTGCCTCAGGAGAAGCTATCGAAAATCAAAGAACAAAGTGATGTGATTTAAGCTGGGTCTGACATTACAAATCCAATATGAATAATTACTTTTATGCCATTCTGCTTGCCTTTGGAAGATCATCAAAAATCAAGAAACAAAGTGACGTGATTTGAGCTGGACTTGACTATGTAAGACTAAAATGCATATCATATTTCATAATATCCTAAAATTAATTCTTAAGTTGATTTATTATCAGCTAGCAATACAAAAAATTTACACCTATTGTAAGCATAGGTGTAAATTTTTGAATGTGTATAAAAAAGTCTTAAAGCTTTAGATCAAGTTCTAGTATACTAATAATTTTTCAATATTTTGTAAACTATTCTTAAGCCATTTTCTTTACATAAAGCTAGGGTCACTAAGTATTACCTTAAGTGTAAAAAAATTCAAGCAAAGTGTAAATTTTATAGGTTAGATGTAAAATTTTCATATATATATAAGAAAAGCAAAAAGTAATAGATCATGTTATAGCATATCATTAATTTTATGATATATAAGAAACAATTCTGAAGTTGATTCATATTCACAAACCCTAGGATAAAAGTTATACCAAAAATTCAGATAAAGTATAAAAAAATTCGGGCAAAGTGTAAATTTTTCAAAATAATTAAGCCTAATATATTTCCTAAAATGTATTCAAAGCTCTATTCCGAAGCCTATTAATATACTGCATCAGAAAAATTTTTATAGCAAAGTACTTCAAAAAATTTACTATTTGTAAATATTTCAAAATATTTTGCCATAATCCTCCGTAATAACTACGTTTTCATTGAAGTACTTCGTATGTATTACTGATAGTAATCCTGCGTAGTGTAAACTTTTGAAGTATTATGAGATTTCGTAAACCTACAAAGTACTTTACAGTACTTCGCAGGTTTATTAATTGTAAGTTTTTAAAATACTTTATAGGTTTACGAAAGATTACGCTATGTAGTATTACGATCAGTAATACTTATGAAGTACTTTGATAAAAACGTAGTTATTACGGAGGATTATGGCAAAGTATTTCGAAATATATACAAATCGTAAATTTTTCGAAGTACTTCGCTATAGAAAAGAATAATTTTTTTAAACATAACCCTTCATAAAGTTTATACTAAAATATAAATATTGTGAAGTTTTACACTATAATATTACATAAAAATACGAAGGTTTATAAATGGTTTACAGGCTCCCGAAGGTTTACAAAACGTAGTTTTATGAAGGTTTATACTAAAATATAACCTTATGCAATATTTATAGTTAAAAATTGTGTAAGGTTGCAAAAGGTTGCAATAGCTCTATAAATCTTGCAGAGGATTATACAAGAATCTAATTATTATAGAGGTTATAGTCAAGTCATAAATTTTTCGAAGTATATGTACTTCACATAAATTTTTTAATAGTCTAATTATTACAAAGGTTATAGTATGAGTCGTAAATTTTTTAAAGTATTACAAAAATTTTCTGATACTAATTATTACGGAGGTGTTATGATTTTTATTATGTTCTTTCCACAAATATTCATATGTTTCATTGAATTATCATTAATTTCATACTTCTTTTTATCGAAAAGTATCGTGATCTATATCAGAAAAGTTTTAATTCCATGTCTAATATCCAGAACATAACAGATTATCATATTAAAGATAATTCAATTCGATCACTTTCATATATATCTGTAAACTTTTGAATTTTTTATTTAGTAAAGCGAAGGAACAAAACTTATTGATTATTAATTATTATTCTTAATTACTTAAGAATAATATTTTTATTCAAAAAAATTTAATTTGCAAAATTTTGTTTAAAAAAAAAATTCTACTATATTTTCTGTTCCTTCATAATTGTATTAATTTTCATTTCATTTCAGATAGTTTCAATAAACTAAGCAAGATGATAAGACAAGATATTTTTGGGTTTAATATTATTTTGACTGATACTTTTGTATAAGCCACTTGAGCAAGGGATATTGTTCGGTGTGATGGTTTCTAAGTTTTGGAAGTTTAAAAAAAAATATTGAAAATGATAAGTTATAAAATTACGCTATTTAATATAATATTTAATAATATTTAATATGAAAGATCTTAAACGTAAAATATGTAAATAATAATTGTTGAAGATGTATCCTTACGCTTTATTCCACTCATCACCACTTAAAAGGTGTGTTAAACCATCATTGTGATTAAACTTTTAAATGCTTTTTTGGCTGTCACTACCTAAAGATATTAAACTAATTTAATAAACATACTAACTTTTTGGTTATTTATTGAAAACTTCCAGAGAATTATTTTATTTATTATTAACTTTTAAATAATGTATTTATACTATACTACCTGTTGTAAAAATAGTTTCAATATGTAAAAAAAAAATAAAATAAAATAAAAAAAGGGTTTTTGTACAAACCCATGATTCAAATTAGTGTTACGTGATTTGTAGTTTATGTAACTTCCTCAATTTATCATAATTTTACGATTGTTATTATGAATTGTTATTTTATATTATTAAAATGAACTATAATTGCTACTTTTGTTTCCGAACATTTAGTAAATGTTCAGCATATAGTCAATACGTTTTAGTATGCTTACAAAGGGTAGAAACAGATGAAGAGAGTGATTCTAATGATAAAATTCAAAACATTGAACATATTTCTCGTAAAAGCGATGATTTTTCTATGAATTATATAGACGATGAGGTATAAAATCATAAATTTAAAAAATTTTAAAATTTTATGTCTGCTAATTAC